TTTCATCCACCCCAAAACCCCAAAACCCCAGCATCTTATTTTATCTTTTAATTAAAGGGATTATTTGAAAATCAAATTTTTAGAGTGTCTTAAATATTAATAACATTTTCTTGATCTTAAAATAAATCTGGCTATGGGTCTTTATCATTCTCTAGAATATAGATATAAGTCATTCCCATGTTTTTTCTCTCTTTATGTATGACATTAACTCCTTTTTGCCTTTCAATAACTGACTCAAAATCAATTTATTCTACCTACCCATAAATTGTTAAATCTCTAGCAGCAATAAATTGCAACCACTAATTATAAATGCTTAGGTAACTCTAGCCTCTGCACATGAGTAAAATCTTGCCCTTATTTTTGCAAACTCTTTTCATTTCCTCCATCACTTAGTTTAAGTTATACGATGCTTCTAGTCCAAATGTATTAACTATAGTATCAAACTGATCATCATCAAACGGAAGATCATGAGCATCCGCAGTCATTAACTTAAAATCATCAAAGTTAAACATATTTTTCTTCTTCATCTCATCAACTCTTTCAAAGGCCTTAATTAGCATATTGTCCGACCAATCTACCCCTATAAATTTCTAATAAACATTACTTAATTTAAATTTACATTTAACTGGCTAGTCTTGTAATACTCTAAATTTCTGCCAGTGCCCATACCTACTTCAAGCACATCTCCATCTGCATATGACAGCAATATTCTTCGATACTTAGAGAGCTTGTTTGAATATTCTCGACGATTGTATGTGTCATCATAAGTCTCTGCAATCTTTTAATGTACTCCGTGTAGAAATGACTTTTAATCAGAAATATCTCTTAAATCTGATTGAGCTTTGGTAATCTAAGTGTACTTGTAAGAGAAGAAAGTTGAAGATATATAACCTCCAACACCATATATTAGTAGCTTAGGAATACTCACGGTAGACATTAATTTTATTGATATTTTTAATATAATGTTATAATAATTATCAGTTGATGTTTTAATGCAATAGAAATAATATTCATTAAGAAAACTTAACTTTGTCCAATGAGGCAAGAATCTTTTTGAAGTCAGGTCTCTTCTGCTCATTATCTTGCCAGCACCTTCTAATCAACACCGAAAGCAGGGGATCAGTATTTTCAGGAATTAAAGGTCTTAATCTCTAGTCGAGCAACATATACCTCATTGTCTTCTCATCAAGTCCTTCAAATGGAACATTACCAGTTTCAAGTTCCCACAACAATACCCCGAAACTATAACTATCAATAGTAATGGTATCGTAGAAGTCAGCTTGCATGTCCTACCAAACTTCTGGGGCTGACCAAGGATTGTGGTTTTAGTATCTTGAAAATAACTTGCAGAATTTCTTTAAGGACTTCAACCCATAGTCTGCAATATAGATGTTGAAGTCTGATGGATTCAGCAATATGTTCTTAGATGATAGATGACTGTGAGCAGGAGGTTTATGAGCTGAGTGCAGTTAGTCTAGTGCTTTTGCAACACTCCTATATAAATTAATAACAACAATCATTATTACTTTGCAATCATCATTTTATCGCCAGAGTTTAGAGCTTGACCAGATTCATGAAGATATTCATAGAGAGATATTTTCTGAGGCATTAAGATATGCATAACATTTGTCTTATCGTTGAAACAGATACCTTTTATTGGTAACAGGTATTTATTTTTCAGCATCCTAATTATACATTAATGAAACCAAATCTTACTTGATAGCTTGTGCTTCTCTAAATATTTCCTCAATGACATATGTCTTTACTCTTGTGAATTTGATTACCCTGCAAAGCATTTAAACATTTAGCTATTTCTCTTCATCAAAAAGTTTAACCTTATATAAACCACCTAGTCCTCTCCTTTTATTCCCCTTACTAAATTGTTCATACAAATTAAAGTCTCTCTCTGAAATGAACAAGCCCTCCTAATATTGACCTCTATTAAAGCTTTCATTAAAAGCTTTGACTGAATCACTTCTATATGCATCTGTGTCTCCAACCTAACTGCTCATTCCACTCTTAAACTAGTCATAGAATTACTATTACTACATTAGACTTTCTCTATTGTTGGACTGAACTGAAAGATATGACAAATTATTTTGCTGTTAAGCCTCAAACAAAGGTTCAGTGGTTGTCTAAGGAAAAGCTTTCATAGTAAAAATCTCCATAAAGTGCCAGTCAAGTACAAACATAAAAGGACCTATTTCAATTACCAAAAATAATACGATAATCATCATTGGAATGAAGTAAGTATTATAATCTTGATTTTTAAGACCAAGAATCATTCCGTAAAAAAGCCTGCTCTCAAATATTCCGCAAGTTCCCCTAATAACTCTCGTTATTGACCATATAAGCATAGCTATTTAAAGTAGTTTCAATTTTTAAGTATATACTGCAGCTCTTATCGGACTGCCTGAGAATTTGAAAGCTATTGCAAGCATGATTACGAGAATCAATATAGGAGTTGTAAAGTTTAAAATAATAAGTTCCTTGGTGAAGGCTGAGGCATCCATCTGAGAATTTATATAGAGTATGATAAAAATCAGCTATGTAATTAAGAGTGAAGCACCGATGAAACTAACAACGTACTTTCCTTTTCCGCTTAGAACTGATCTGAAAATGTTTGCATGCCCATCATAATAGATTGATAATAACTGCCAGAATAATAATAAGTAGGCGTAAATGACTAGGAATTCTGGGGCAAGAATAAGCAAGACCAGACTTTTGGGGCTTTGATCAATACCCATATATTCTTTTTCCTCAGTGGGAAGAAATTTCTTATATTCACTTTGATTTTTGGGCACATCAATAATAAAGTAATCATGTTGCTCTGAATGATATGCATCTGCGTAAAGAAAAGATGCCACACCGAAGGAAGCAGCTCTAGCCAGACACACCAAGAATAGAAACACATAAAATATCTTTGAGATCCATGAGTCAGATGAAAAACTTTGGAATTTGCATAACCTAAAATAAGTTTAAATGATGCTTGTTTGAGATTACCTTATAGATGTTATGATTAATGTGATTATAAAGAGTACCGATAAAAAGAAAAATGATAAAACTATCAATGGAATCCCCATACTCATTTTTAATTATTACATTTATTCATAAATTTTCTTCCATTATTTCAAAGAAAATTATTCTGATGGGGTTTTGGGGTTTTGGGGTTTTGGGGTTTTGGGG